TTGACCAAGTAGGCAAGATGAAGTCTCTTCGTCTCCTACTCTCTATTGCTGAGGAATCAGAAGGTCTCTGTTACCGTTAGATGTTCTAAACGCCTTCTTGAATAGGGACTTACAGCAAGAAGTTTACTTTAGCTTCTGCTACCTCCATCTATACTCTAGCTGGCTCTATATCAATAGAATAATATTATTCTTCATTTATAAATAAGAGATCTTAAATTCGACTATCATATGTCATAGATTTGCATGATACTCAAGGATGAAATTTTGAACTGAAGGGCATTAGTGGAGACAACAAGAATGCTAAACGATAATAATAAAATGAAACTACAAAAATTAGGATGATCAAGTTAGTTTTGTTCCTAACAGACACATCTCAGATAATATTATGATTGTTCAAGAGATTGTCCATAAATTTAAACGACCTAAAGGAAAAAGGGTTTTTTTAGCTTGGAAAGTGGATTTTGTCTAAAGCATATGACAGGTTGAATTGGTATTTTCATTGAGCAGACTTTGACTAAACTCCTACTCTCATTTTCTCTGTTCAAGCTTATAAGGCATTGTGTTGTAAACTTTATGTGGTTATATAATTAAAACACAAACGAAGGAGTTAGTTGACTTGATCATGAAGCGATAGCCATTGGAGATCAAACGGAGAAGATGAGGGTTGCAGGAACACCAAAATCTTCTACAAAGCACCTAGCCGAATACAACTACTTTATGGGAAGCATTTGTTGTGTTTCTAGGGTTTGCAGGGACCTTAGTATTTATACTGGCTAAGGTATTAAGGTTCCGTCCATAAAGGAATCTCATATCCCACCTTTTTAGCCTATCAGTTAGGTAATCACTTAAAATCAAGGATTCCATCAATCTTACTTGTATTACAAGACACCTAATATAAGATTGATATCTTTAGGAAATCAAATCTCAATATCTACATTAATCTTCAATATTACATTCCTATTATATGTTGTAGACCATTTAAAGTTGATTTACATCGAAATAAATCCAACATGTGTAGCCTCTACAAGCATTCAAGTGTGTCTTAATGGTGAATTGTCAGACAGTTTTAAACATGGCTGGGAGAATCATCCTTATTCAAGCTGTGTTTATCTTCTGTCTATTTATGCTATGTAGACTGCATTGCTTCCTAGTCAGTTCTGTCATAAACTTGAAATATTAAATCGTGATTTTCTGTGGGGAAACTCTAGCTCCGTTAAAAAGGTCCATTGGCTTCCTCTTTGGAAGCTGCACATACCACCAAAGTTAAAGGTCTTTGCTTGGTTGGTCACTCAAGATAAAATTCTAATCAATCAACAAAGATTAAAGAGGAAGATGGCATTAGATACTAGTTGTCCCATATGTGATGGTTTTGTTGAAAATTTGTTTCACCTTTTGAGGGAGTGCTCTAGCTAGAACTGTTTGAAATGCATTGAAGGTTCCTAGTAATATTCTTTCTACTTTTAATTTAGACTTGGAGGGATGGGTTGTTGCTAATATACACTATAAAACACTCAGTCATGAGGGTCGGTCTTTTTTGGTTTGCATCTTGGCATATTTGGAAGTGGAGAAATTATATATATTGTCCTCCCTATCAACTTCTCTTTCATCTTGTGAAGGCTATTTTGAAGTATGCTTGGGAGTGGACTGATGCTAATAAGGTCAGTCAATCTAAGCCCTGCAGAATTATTGAAAAGTTGACTTGGATTTCTCCAAATGAGGGATGGATGAAATTGAATATTGATGGGGCTTGCTAAGGGCAAAACGGTGTTATGAGTTCTAAAGGAGTACTTAGAGATCATCATGGCTCTTGGATTGCGAGTGTTTAAGCTAATATGGGAGTAGGAGAAGTCATTGAAGCTGAGCTACGGGGTCTCCTTTTGGATTTGAAATGGCTTTGGACAAGGGTGCTAGGAGGGTACTTTTAGAATCTGACTATGCTATTACAGTTTTATTCTTTAAATGTATCGTGCACGATCTGCATTCCTTGGCTGCTTTGTTATATGGGTGTCATCACTTGATTTCTCAATTTGATCAATGTGATTTAAACCATATTTATAGAGAGAGGAACATTGTGGCTGATGGTTTGGCAAATTGGATTTGTTTTTTTAACTTGAGCTGTATTATGTTGGATGATCATTCTCGTTAAATTGTTGGTTTAAAGCTAGATGATATTTTCGAGATTGCCAAAACTTGAATTATTTGTGCATTCCCCTTGGGCTGATGTCTTTCTTTGTTCAGCAGTTCTGCTTGAATTTTGAGCCCCTTTGTATCTGAGAAGAAAATGAAAACGTAGCAAGAAAAATGTACAAACGAATGTGAAAATCCAAATAAACTACGGGGACCGTTGCCTACTGTTGCAATTCATGATGTACTCGGCACTGCAATGCTTCATCGCTCAGAGTCACCATTGGCCCCCAAAACCCCCAAATAGAACCCAGAGGAAATGAAAGCCTTCCTCTTTTCTCTCCTAAAACCCCAAACCCCGTCCTCCTCACCCACCAACCTCCTCCTCCTCCACTGCCACCGCCACCATCAACGGCGGAGCATAACCAAAGTCCGCCTCAAATGGGTCAAAAACCGAAGCATCGACCACATAATCGAGACTGAGACCGACCTCAAAGCCGCCTGCCTCCTCAAGGACGCAATCAAGCGCTCCCCCACCGGATTCCTCACCGCCAAGTCGTTCGCCGATTGGCAGAAGCTCCTCGGCCTCACCGTCCCCGTCCTGCGCTTCCTCCGCAGGTACCCAACTCTTTTCCAAGAATTCCCACACGCCCGTTACGCCAATTTGCCTTGTTTGAAGTTAACAGACACTGCAGTTTTTGTTGGATTCATAAGAACAAAGTATTCAAAAAACCCATCAGAGTGACAATGTGGAGAGGTTCTGTAGAGTGCTTATGATGACAAAGTCTAAGACTTTACCTCTCCAGTCATTGTATACTTTGAAATGGGATCATGGGATCTGGGTTTTGCCTGATGGTTTTGAGAAAGTGTTGGTTCCGAAATACCCTGATTGTTTTCGGATTGTTAAGGCCTCAAATAGGGTCGGATTTTTGAAGGCCATAAAATGGCCTAAAGAGTATGCTGTTTCGGAATTGCAGAGGAGTAGAGAGGGTGGTGATTTAGGGGATGAGTATAGGCAGATCAAGAGGGGGCAGACGGTGTTGGCATTTCCGATGAATTTTCTGAGGGGTTATGGTGGGCAGAAGAAGGTGAGGGCATGGATGGAGGAGTTTCAGAAGTTACCATATATTTCACCATATGAGGATTCTAGGCTTATTGATCCTAAGAGTGATCTTATGGAGAAAAGGGTGGTTGGGGTTTTGCACGAGTTCTTAAGCTTGACTCTTCATAAGAAGACTCAGAGGAACTATTTGAGAAGCTTGAGGGAGGAATTGAATCTTCCTCATAAGTTTACGAGAATCATCACAACGTATCCCGGGATTTTCTACCTCTTGTTGAAGTGTAAAACCACCACTGTTTCTCTCAGGGAAGGGTACCATAGAGGGAAGTTAGTGAACCCGCATCTGCTCACACGTTTGAGAGAGAAGTTTGATCACGTCATGAGAACAGGGCTTCTTTAACAGGGTAAAGGTGTGAACTTGCTATCCCAGGATGAGATTTTGCTTAACAGTGTGGAGAGTAAAAGTGGGCAGGAAGCACCTGAAGAGGAAGAGGTTGGAACAGGTGATGAAGATGAGGATGAAGTTTTAGATTCAGGTTCGGAAGGGTCTTGAGGAAGATTGATGTTTGTATCAAAAGTTAACAGTTTGCTTACATTCCATATCAATTGCACTCACTTCCAAGTAAGAAACTTGACCAGAAAGATTGATTTCATAGATTTTTCTTCGTCAACAGATTTTTTCTGTCTTATCGCTGTACTAAAAGCGTTTCATTCTCCGGATTGCTGCTTGAGATGTTTGAATTTTCTGCACAAATATGGTAATGATTATTAAGTTTAGGTCAACCTTGTGACGAATTGCGACTGTAATATTTGAAACATTGCAAATTAGCTTTCTGATGGTTTTTTACCTTAAACAAAGTGGAATTATCAAAGAATCCAAGTTTTGTTCAAAATGCTCTCTGTTTGTTTACAGTTTTCTTTATTCAGATCTCAATTTCCCATTTGTTTTGTAATGTAACTTTCAAGAAAAAAACCTACAGCGAATCTTAAACTAGAATGAAATGAACGGTTTTACCTGTATGAAAATATTGCTTCTCTTTTTTGTTTACACGAGAAAAACCGTAACATGTGAACTAGACTAAATGATATTTTCTTTCTAGCGCAATGGCGTTCTAGGATTCATATAGCCGACCCCACTTAACAGGAAAAGGCTTTGTTGTTGTTGTATTCTTCAAGTGGTGCAGCGTTTCAAGTTTAATACGAAGATGATGTCCCAACGATGTAAGAAGACGACATCTCTTCAAGGTACCTGATTGAATATTTATGTCAGACCATGAAATAATAGTATGGAGTTGTAAAGTTATATACCCACAGAAAAACACTATGATTTCAATAAAGGCTCCGAGGGTGGGTGATGTAACGAATCTCGGTCGCGGTTTTGAACCGAGAAGGTTTTCGAGCAAAGTTTTGTGGATGGCAATTATTAGTTTGATTCCTTTGCATTGCAATGTTCCTTATTCCACTAACGTGACATCATTTCACCATACATTAAGGATAATCGAAATCATACATTCTCTCTGTCATCAGAATCCTATGTAAAAATTCTTTCGATTGAATACCGTTTCGTTGTACAACAAATCGAAAGTTATAATAACAAGTAACATCTTTTATAAGTAATTTTTAAATGATGATAAAAAGAACGAGCAATTTTGGTTATAATGTTTGTACGGTAAAATGATGTCAAAATCCGGACGGACGGCAAAACTCTCTATGGTGCTTTCCACCAAACGAAGTTACCTAAAGTCCTCTCCTCAAATATCAACACTTAAGTTCCCACATCAGAAAAAATTAAGAACCACAAAATCAACAACAAAGGAAAAGAAAACGAAATGTGTAATCCATTAATTTTCAAGAGAAACAATATATATACTTGGTCAAAAACGAAAAAACTAGGAACAACATCCAGTATTTAACGGAAGCACTAATCCCAGGCACTGGTCATACCACCATTACCCGGACCATAACCCCCAGAGCCGCCACCATAGCCACCAGAATTGCCATATCCACCACCACTGTTTCCTCCACCGTAAAAATCTGAACCCCTACTGAAAGAGCCGTCCCTTCTAAAATCACGGCCACCAAACCGACCTCCCCCAGATCGCCGGTTTCTGCCTCCTCCGCCATGAGAAGTCCTTGATGCATAACGAGTAAGCCAAGCAGGTACTTCCTGATTTGCTTCTTGCATTAGATCAGCGAGTGGTTTTGCCAATGAGAGATTGTTCTCGTTAAAGAAAGCAGTTGCCAGTCCTGATTTGCCGGCTCGCCCTGTCCGACCTATCCGGTGAACATAATCATCAACGTCATTTGGAAGATCAAAATTTACCACATGAGCTACATGGGGGATATCAAGACCACGCGCTGCCACATCTGTTGCCACTAATATTGGTGTATTTCCACTCTTGAATGATCTCAATGCATGTTCTCTTTCCTGCATACAAGCACATCGTATCATAACAATATCAGGATTCAGATTAATGCTAAACTTGCATGGCCGTCATGAAATACCAACGGGTAAAAAAAGGATGACAATTTCAACCAAGTGAAGCTTTCTATTAAGAATCGTTATTTCATAATAATGACGTTACTTCCAGTTTGCCCTTGGGGTTAGCTTAAGTGGCGGAGGGTGGATAGGATTCGTCTAGTATTTGGGTCCCTCTAATATAAACAAAGAAAATCCTTCCAGTTCTACCCAAGCTGGAAATTTTACATATTAACCAGACACGTGAAGTCTCAAAGGTTCAAAGATGGTTTAAAACATGACTAAAAAGAAAATGGATGGTTCAGAAACACTAAAACTTGCTGCAGGTAAAGTAGAAGCATAAATCGCTCAGTTATAGCAGCTAAATAGCTCCACAAAGTTCCTTTTAGAGAGAGAGAGAGAGAGAGAGAGGGTTTAACTTCTTTATTCGCAACGAATTTTGTCACTAACAAAAAAAATATGACACAACATTAGGAAAAATATCACTTCTCATAGACTATAAGATCAATTTTCCAAAGAGTTTTACCTGTTGTGTTCTGTCACCATGAATAGTAGTTGCCGGAAACCCATTCATGCACAACCAGTGTTCCAATGCATCAGCTCCCTTCTTTGTCTCCACAAAAACTAACGTCAGAGATTGCTGCAAATTCAATAACAAACGACTATTAATACAATGCAGGACACTGATATACCGATTCTTCAAAAAAAAATCAACAGAACTTTAACAAAGAGTCTTCCTTTCCATGTTACCTTGCCATGAGCTCCATTTTCCCTCTGTGCATGAAGGAGGTCCATGAGATGACTTCGTTTATCAGACTCATGAACAAATTCAACTCTTTGAACAATTAAATCAGTACTTGAACCAACCCTTCCAACAGCCAAAAATATATAATTTGAAAGAAAATCTGATGCCAGTCGCTGCATTCCAACAAAAATTTGCAAAAGCTATCAGATACTTTCAGTTTGGAATTCCACTATATAGAATGTTCATATTGCATTACTATGACTACATACAAGTCAATAAGTAAAGAAAAATCCAATAGGAAACCCAGCAAACGATTAAAACAAACCTGTATCTCCTTTGGAAACGTAGCACTAAACAGCATGGTCTGTCTCAAACCCGGCGGAGGCATGTCCATCTGTTCCACTATTTTCCTAATTTGAGGCTCAAAACCCATGTCCAGCATCCTATCTGCCTCATCAAGAGCCAAATATCTGATCATCTGCAATGACACTCTTGCCCTCTCAAGCAGATCTACCAATCGTCCCGGAGTTGCCACAAGAATATCAACTCCTCTCTCAAGCTCTCTCAACTGACACAATATAAGAAAACAAAAGAGTGGGAGGTGAATCATCAAAACAAAAACAAAAACAAAGTGAAAGAGGCAGCACAAATAGGCACCAATAATAAATTGTTTGTGGTGACAATATTTTCCACAATAGGATTGAGTATCAACATTTTGTGCTTTTAAGAAGAGATCAATGAAGAGTGATTTAAGCAAGTGGTATTGACATTAGTTGAAGAGGAAAATTGCTTTATTAACTTCAGTCAAAAAGGGGAATTGCTTTAATTGACCGATGCTAGAAAATAAAATGATCATTGATCTATGCCTATATATGAAATTACTTATTGACCTAAAAAATTTCCTATAAGTTTAATACTTTGAATGGGATAGAGACCAAATTGAATACAAGTCATCCAAAAACATATCCTACGGTAAAAACCTATAACCACGGCCTCAAAATTATGATCATTGATTTGTTTGCAGACTCACTATTTCCCTCTCTGTTAAACATATTAACCTAACACCAACCCATCGTATATAACTTGAGCCTTCATTCCATAATAAGGAAATATCGTTACTTAAATAAATTCTCTGAAAAATGAAAAAATAAATAATAAAAAGTGGAGACGAAGAAGAAGAAGAAGAACGAATGATCTAGCATATAAACCAGAACTAAATAAATTCTGTAATGTAATAAACATTTTCTGGTTTGAAAAAGATGTATATCTCTCTGTATCATCATCACTAAAAGAAGAAAAAAGTGGTATAACCTCTTTGTCGAGTAATTGCGAAGATGAAACAGATACATACATACATACATACATATATGGGTTAGGATCAAGGGACAAACATTTTTACAGTTCTTTTGAATCATTATATTTCATAACATCTAATGATCCTAATTATGAGTGACGGGGAAGCTTTTTAATCATCTAATGACATGGACGCTGATGTGGCATTATATAACTAATGAAGGAAAAAAAGATTGAAAAGAATAAGAAACTGAAATAAGGAGAAAATCATTGCTGCTGCAAATCCTAATTCATCGCAGCTGCAAACTATAACCTATTGCCGCTGCTTCTTCATCTTCTTAATTTAGACATAATAAAGGACATGACGACCAAGTATGTTCAAATGATGTAAAAACCAAGATGGCAATCAACTGGTGGTATATTCACGTTGGGAAAAAAAACATTAGATTGGACTGAACGAAGTTAAAAATAAATAATCTTTAGCTCATTAGGGTGCGATAATCATCCGTCGATCTAGGCGGTCAACTAAATGAATGTATTACACCCTATTTCTAGCATATATGTACTTGATTGATTATGTCTAGTGATACATCTCTATAAAAGATGCAAGATGAAGCGGCTTGATGATGATGTCCTGTGATACTTCTATATAAAAGAGATGCGAGATGAAGCAGCATCAATGGAGGTGCAGGACAGGGATAACTTATTAATTTACGTTTGGATTCTTTTCTTAATTAACTTTCCACGTCAGTTTCCATGTCATTAGATGATTAAAATGCTTCCACATAACTCTTAATTAGAACCCTTGGATGTTATGTAATCTAATTGCTCAAAGGAGTGTAAAAATATTTGTCAAAATGTTTGTCCCTAAACCTAACACTATATATGTACATATGTAATTAGACATGGATCCAAAGTATCAGTAAGCCACAATCAAAGTCAAGTTATACAAACCTGTTGATTTATTGGTGCACCTCCATAAGCAACTACCACCTTGACACCGGTTTGATAAGCAAACTTTCTAGTTTCTTCATGTATCTGCAAGCCAATCAAAACAGAAACATTAAGCTTTTGCCTATAAACCACTACACGTTATGTGACTGACAAAGCACAATCTAACCTGGCAAGAGAGTTCTCTGGTAGGGGAGAGAATAAGAGCAAGAGGATACACAGTACGTGCTCCACGAGGTCTCTGAGCATACTGCCCTAGCATGATTCCACTAATAATTGGAAAGCAGAAAGCAGCTGTCTTCCCTGAACCCGTCTGAGCACAAGCCATCAAATCCCTACCTCCCAGAGAAATAGGTATTGCATGACGCTGAACAGGAGTTGGCTTCACATACCTGCACCTTCGAATATTTAAATTCAATGCCTCCCCTAAGTCTATCTCTGCAAAAGTATTCACAGGTGGTGGCACATTATCCCCACTAGTTTCCACAGGGATATCCTCATAAGCATCAAAGTTAATGCCTGTGTTTTCTTGATCACTAAATGTCGGTTCTGAGATGTCTTCATCGCCAAAAGGGTTTACTTCCCGCCCCCTCCCACGGTCCCACCCCCCACTTCTATTGTTCCAACCACCACCACCTCGACCACCACTGGAAACATATCCCGGACGCCCAACATCATGCCTAGAACTGCCAGCACCCCAGGCAGGACCAGGTGCAGGCCCATTGTAACCTACGCGGTCATTGGCTGGTAATGGGGCAGGATGTGAAGGAGCCGGGGCATCAGAAGCCGGCGGCCTATTACGAAGATGTGGCGGGACATAACTTGATCGTGCAGGGCGAGATGAGCTGTTATTTGCAGATGAACCAATAGTCGGATTCTCTCCTTGAGAATTTGCGACAGAATCCGCCCATGAAGTTGTCATAATTGTAAAAACGTGACCCCTCCTTTTCCAATAAATTTAATTCGTAACCTAATGCACCAAACACACACAAAAAATCAGACTCTAAATAAAAATTTGTCCAATGAATTATCTCTAAATATCTTGCAGATCAAAACCCTGATCATTCTTACCACTATACCGTTCGAAAGGGGATTCGTCTACGAAACATATCATTAAAAACTGGTTAACATGAAAATTTCAGTTACAATTTACATTACACTAACAGTAAACTCTATTAATTTTGTTTAAAATAACGCGATTAATTAAACACATAAAAAAATACAAAATTTGGATTTAGCGCAATAAACATCACGCGGAAAACTTCAGCACAAATCTGAGCAAAAATATCAAAGTAAAATCAAGCAAAATAAATTCAAAATTCAAAAAAATAAACAATGTCATACACGAAAAATCGGAAGAAAGAATAGACATCAAAATTCGAAACGAAAACTACAGCATGCATTCGAAGAGCAGATTAACACATGCAAAAACGCTTAATAATTACAGAGACTGAGAGAACTTAGAACCTCGATAAGCAGTGAAAGCAGCAGAATCGGATCGGGAACCAGAAAAAGTTGAGAAACCCTAGCTTTTCTGAGCGCAGGAATGGCAGGATCGGAAGGTAGGCGAAGATATCGCTCTGGCTTTTCGCTTTCTTCGTCGATGAGAAATCCTCTTCTTTCTCCTGAGATATTTTCTTCTCCTATTCAAATGGGATCAAAACTCTTTCTCCTCCTTTTCGTTTTCCTTTTTCTACGCAGCCGAAACGTGTAACGAGGAAATTATTTTTTATTTTTGAAATTTGAAAAAAAAAACAAAAAAAAATCTTTAAATGCATTGGCGTCCGTACAATCCGGGGGCGAAAGGTGGCAGCCGTCGTATAAATAACCCCGCGGTGAAGCGTGAAATTGTGAGGGTTACAAAATCTGTATGCTTTGATTTTGAGGTCCCTATTATTTCTCTAAAATCGTTCTACGATATAGGGACTCAATTTCGTGTAATTAATAATCACTTGCGATTTGGTAGTATTTCTCTTTAATTGTAACTGACAAGTCTTACGTTCGATTAAATTTGAACCACTTTAATATTATCGATTGTGAAATTTAGCTCATCCCCACTTCATGGTAGGTAATATTGTTTTTTTCTTCTTTTTTTTTTAATTTCCATGTAATTGATAAATTGATTGTAATCTTTTTTTTTTTTTTTTTTATGCAAGTGTAATCTCTTGTTACACAGATAGTAATTATGTTGTACTTATTCATCACGCTTTAGATGTCAACAATACTTGGCTAATTAAATATGAGTAGGAACTCTTACTCAAAACTCTTAGTATTAAACACAAAGTTTTATACTTATGATCAGAACAGTTCATACTTTGAATCACACTGTAAAGATCATCTTTGCAAAAAATAAATTAAAACTAACGTCGTTTAGGCAATCTATTGTAGCAAATACATAGACCGTTCGTAATGCTTTTACCAATACCATTCATTTGTTTTTAAACAGTTTAATGACTAAATGACCTTAATTTTAATTGATTTTTTGCAAAGGTGATCTTTATAGGGTGATTTATAATATGAACGATTATGATTATAAACATAAAATTTCATAAATTGACAACGAACAATTTTGATGAATTTTAAATAGAAGCTCATACTCATCTTTATGTAACCAAGTATTATTCTTTAGGTGTCGGTTAGTACGGTTTGATTCTAATGTCTAAGTGGATATTTCAACAGGGTGGGTCAGTTTGTTATGAAAATTGGGAAGCTTAATAATAATTGGTGTTTGTATGTATATCTAATATGCATCTTTCAACCTATTCAAACACTATATATTGAGTTGAAATTGTGTGTTTCAATCAATCCAAACTCGACAACTTGGGTTGAAAATTGTGTCCCCATTAATATTAATATACTTTCATTAAGCAAAGCAATCATTATTAGTTTACATAAAATAAAGTTAATTAGAAAGAAAAATCTCTTTAGGGAATTGGATGATTTCCTTGGGAATTGGATCCCCTGTACCTAAGGAGAGGATCCTCCTGATCAAAGATCTTGGACCGTTAGATGAATTATTATAACTTTAAAGGGATTCCTGTTTGTAGCTGTTAAATGAAAATCTAACGGTCCAAGATCTTTGGTCAAGAGAATCATCTCCTTAAGCTCAAGAAAAGATCCAATTCTCTTTAGAGCAGTTCCAGCCCACGCCGAATGGACCGGCACCAAGTGAAAAAAATAGCCTAGCACCCAGTCCACACCCTCCAGGCCGTGAAACAGCGTGGCACCCAGCCCAAGCCAGGCAGCAGCCCAGCCCATTTCGGACAAACCCAAAAGCCGGTCCATTTCCCTGGCGCGTGCATAACACGCGCTCCTAGGCGCGAGTAGCCGACAGTGCTGCAGCGCGCGGGCCCCGCGTGTCAGCGCAAGTGGGTTCGATCCGGTGAGAGCCACGTGGCCATGCTCAGAGTCGTTGGATTTCCAACGGCTAGTTTTTGTAGGCCGTTGGATTTCCAACGGTAAAAAAAATTTAATTTTGACTTTTAAAATGGACCGTCCGATCACAGATCAACGGTCCAAGTTTTTTTCACCAAAAATTTTAAAAAAAAAAAAAAAAAGGCCCAACGGTCAGAATTTTGACCGTTGGCCACGTGGCAGCTTATTGGCTGTTGGATTTGATTATTTTTCAAATCCAACGGTCCAGATTAATTACAACATTAAAATTTATTAAAAAATAATTAAAAATTGTGATTTTTTTTTTAAAAAATACAGAAAAATTTTAAAAAATTAATTTTTTTTTCTATAAATACCTAACCTTCATCTTCCACCTTACACCACAAAATAGTACGTTCGGATAATGACACATGGCGTGACGAGATTGGTTAAAAATCCTATCCGAAATTAAAACTATATTTTTTTTATTTATTATTTTATAAAAAAATTATTTAATATTTTAAATGGACTGGGTGCCAGCGCATTTTGTAGGGGTGGAGATCGTTTGTGCTAGCGCATTTTTAGACTGGGTGCCAGCACATTTTTTTTGGGGTGGAGATGCTTTGGCCTATTACTGTTCATTGGGTCTATTACTGTTCAATTAAGTAGATAAATGGTGACACACCCCAACCCAGAAAGTCCACTTGGACCCTGAATCGAGCTGTGCTGGCCGACACCTGGAAGGTGACGAAGCCATAAAATGTGATAGTGCATAAAAAGTGATTAAATTTGAAACTAAAAGTGTCTAAATACCAGAGTGCGCTACGAGTGGGAGCGAACCCATTTCACGCGCGATGTCAGAGCATAAGTAAGGTACAGTAATGTGAGTAAGAATCATACCCTCAAAAATATCCATCAATACTAAGATTCGCCACAGATTTTTGTCGATACAAACTCAGCAGCTAAAACCTGGAGTCCACGCTATACTACTCTAGCACGCGCATCGAGGCGTCCTGAATGATCGGTCCCTGCCACGAAGTCCAAAAGTGGACGGAAGATGGTCAATTTTGCCCACGAAGCCGGCGGGTGCCTAAAACTTCCCGACGTCGATTCGTCGTCTACGGTGGTCCAACGGGGTCAAGGTTGGTTGGGTTTTGCTCCTGGGATGATGGGCTACAAAGCCCAAGTGGTGGCATCGGCCATCGCTTTGCCGATTTGCCGGAAAATGGAGAAGGGTGGCCGGAGCACCATTGATTTTCGTCAACTTTCGTGGCCTCAAACCTCCACATCCCGTGGTCAATCAAGGTGGTTCTTGGGTGGGTTTTGTAGAGGGGAATGAGAGCTTCAAAATGGTGGTGGTGGCATCGAAAAACTCCACCGGAGTTGGCCGGAATCGGCCTTGGAATATGGCCTCGCGGTGGTGCGGGTATGGGTGCACGGGAAGCCTTTTTCCCTTTTTTTTTTTTTTTTCTTTTCTTCCCTCTTTCTGATTGGGCTTCCATTAATTTAAATAAACACTCACCTTGAATAACCAATTTCGAACGTCCGTAACTATACCGTTATAATTCGGACTCGCAAACGGTTTTCGCCTATACGTTCGTACCAATGAGTACTACGAGGATATGCTAAAAGAATAAGTCCCACATCTCTCAAGTCAATGGTCAACAGAAGTCAAAGTCCGTGCCTCTAGGGCAATTTCGTAAACTCACGCTTTTAAAATAAATTAAAAATGTAAAATTTGGAACGGGTTGTCACAATCTACCCACCTTAAGAAAATTTCGTCCTCGAAATTTAAAATCATTAGTCCAATGTAGAATACTCAAAATTAAAGAGATATACCTGTAAATACATACACAAGGAAGACATCAAGTTATAGCGACTACATAAAAGAGGATGACATTCCGTCATTATCGGAGTGTTATGACTCTTCTTTCATGCCTCCAAACCTATTTTCCTTCTCTTTTACATAAACGTGTTCAAAGCGTAACGCACTTCGAAATTTAGCATGTAGTATTTTTGGGTCAAGCCCAAGCAACCATTAACAAATCAAATAAGTAAATACAAATATTAACGTAAAATAATCTACTTGTTTACTTGCTTAACAACCCAACGAATAAGTTATTAATATTATGGTCTGTACACCACAAAACCGACAATTCACTGATGTCTTGATAAGCAAGTAACAATTCCCGAGGGTGCAATATTACCATCTTGCCCCTCAATGGGAAATATACATACCAACCTCGATCGTACTCATTCACTACCTTATGAGGCAACATCGTCAATAACATAAATTTTCTACATCACCATCTCAATTAAATATTCGTTCGCAATAATCTGCTGTAAATCACAAGCTGCACATACAATATTTGTATTATATTTTGAAGGATACCATACTCTTAAACAGGAATGTAACCGTAGTTACCCATAATTCTAACAAAAGTATGCGTGCATTAAATATGCGCTGTGCGTAAAATCTCCATACATCAACCCCAATGATACCATAGCTAACTCGAAATTGTAACCGTGTTTACAAGTAACTAGAATGAAGATAAGGATATACTGTAGCCATGTTACTGGTGGGACAAACAAGATGCAACTCGTCCACAAAGGTCTGAGTAACTCATTTCAAACTAATCAATCTAGGGTTAGAAATGTGATACTTAACAACTTCTAATACTCAAAACCTTCATAACGACTTTCAAAGGCTTGGAAGTGAAACATATAACACGATGAAATATAAATACACCAAGATGATAATCTTGTCAGGTTTCTGTTTGCTGAATTTGTATAGAAGTCTACAAGTAGTTTTCTCAAAAAGTCATCGTCCTCTGGATGCAATTAGAAAATTGTAGTTGCCCAAGGAAGTTTGAACTCTATATCCTCAACATCCTCACAACATTAATCAAAAGCAGGGTACATCTAGAGTGAGGATTCATTTAGAACACATCAACGGGAGCCTCGATTTTATCTCTTTCCTACTTCCACATTTGATCACGTCACAAAGATAATTTCTAGATCACATCCCCCGAAGAGGTTGACTACATTCCACTTCTATCTTAGTGGTCTTCACAAGTGTCTAGTTGTTGAAATTTCAACACCCATTTTTTTTTTTTTTTTTTTTACGAAACAATTATTGCCAATACTTCAATTTTTAGAGCAAGAAAAATATTGTTTTCTACTTAAGTAAACCACCACCAATTGGAACATCATATAAGCGTATCATTGGTTTAGCATCACGATTAATGAATTTCACATTCTTCACATATACAACATCTCT